TTGCAAATGTGTATCAGACTGTGCAATCTCTCCATGAGTTGGTTTTGAAACACAGTATGGGATTCTGAGATACATTACCAAGGATATTATTACAAGATAAATCATTTGCTTCATTGAACACATACAACAATGCATATTTCCACTGAGATCAGTGACCTTTGATGTGTATCACCAGTGATCAGTCAAGTAGAAACAGTCAAAATATTTTATCAGATTTTCTCAATGTTTGCATGATATTTTCATACAGGACATCTGTTGTTCAAACTCAGGGAAGACTTTATACTGATGAATAAGGTGACCAAGTTTGATGAAGTTTGGAATAGAATTAGTAAAGTTATTATGCACACAATAACAATTATTAACGACAACGACAACAACAACAACGCCGGACAAAATTTTTCCCTTAATATACTTTTCCCTTCCATCTTTGATGGTACGGGCAAGGTAATAAAAACAAACATGCCTGCCACCAGAGTTTGACTGGACTCCATACAAAGAAGTATGCTGATTCTAAACTTTTTACTCAGACAGTACTCAGATAGTACGCTGTTGCATTGTCCTTCGCTGTGCATCGGCCGATTCTGCCGCTGTACTGTCTGAGTGCATACTTTGAGGTATCTTCATAATAACCTTATATTATGCAAAAAACAGGCAAGGTACATAATTGTAACTCACTTGCAGGTGGTGCTGCCATTATAGCTTCTGATGTGGAGCTTGGTTTTCCTGGGCCTGCCTCATTGACAGCACTGACACGGAATTCATATTCGTGTCCTTCTACAAGCTTGGGCACAGTATAACGTATAGATCGTAACGGTGATTTAGTCACCATAACCCATTTATCATTACGAAGATCCTTCTTTTCTACCAAGTAGCCAATGATAGGATTACCACCATCTGAGGTTGGTGCAGTCCACTGTAATGATATGCTGGTCTTAGTAGTTTCTGTAGCTTTAGGCTGACCAGGAGATCCAGGACAATCTATAAATTAAATGGTGAAATATTAGATTATTTTTAGGATCTCCAGACCTGAGTGGTACATTGCTGAATGTGTACAGTAAGGATTCATCAATTGATATAAATGACTCTGTACGACAGACTGATGGCGCTCAAATTTTACCTGCATTTCATTTGAAGATGCTTTTCTATGGAGAAAATATGCTATACTAAAATCTTTGTATAAACTTTATATCCTTGATGACTAACATTCTCACATACACGGTAGCCTAGCAACTAAAAACATGGCTAACAAAGATAATATAATTGTATAAGAAGCAGCACTTGATAAGATCATCACATAATAAATTTGGGTTACTTTATATACAAGGCGAGTATTCCTAGAATGTTAGGACTTTTTGTTTATTCAAACGACAGTGGTATTATAAATAATTTGCATATGGACCAGAAGTGTAGAATATATATTTGCGCTATTACTGTGTTTAAAAAATGTAAAAATGAAAGCAGTTCAGCTATGGCCAAAATAAATTAAATATTTTAATGGTCAGGCAAATAATAAATGTAATTTGGAGTTTGTGTACTTCTATAAGAAATGTGCTTTTAATAGAGTAAATAGATTATATCTTATTGTTTTACTTTGAAACTAGAAGTAGTTAATTTAATATATATCAGCAAAAATGTATACTCACTGAATGGATTCTTAGCCACTACAGACTCCCCAGTCAATGGTTTACTGGCGCCATACTGATTTTCTGCCATCACACGGAACTGATATTCTGTACCCTCATTGAGATTTCGGACTTTGCAAGATGGTCCACTACAAAAGCTTGTTATACGCTGCCATTTACCAGTCCCGACTTCACACTTCTCAACAATATAGTTGTCTGTTTCATCTGCGCCATCAAGTGGTGGTTTCCATTGTAAGGTAAGACTGTTAGCAGTGACATCAGACGCTAAAAGTGGACCTTCTGGAGTGCCAGGTGCATCTGTATAATCAAGCGACAATAGTTAATATTTTATTGTTACATGCACTACAAACTACTGTAAACAACTTAAATTTTGCAAAAGACAATGTTTTGACAATTTCCACATTCTGAAACGTTGTAGCGATGACAATTTTATTGGGGTCCTAAAAGCATGAAGTCACAGCAACTTACAAAAATGTTGTCAACATTATCAATCAATACATTGCTAGCAGAAAATATTACTACAACCATGGACACTATTATAATAGCCTTTATATTTTTAGTGCATAGCAAGTAGAAAATCACAAGCAGGGATGCACTGTAAAGAAAACAAAGCACCACATACATGTAAGGTGTGAGCCTACCCATCACTTATCAAGGTGTTTTTATATACAGTTATATAGTGAGGTGACATACGTCAGAATTATACACACTCGCACTGCTCTTATCTTGTTATTACATGTATCACTATGCATCACTGTTCTGGAGTGGCTTTCAACTTTGATGCATAAACAAAAATGCTATAATATCTAATGTTGTACATTTTTACAGAAGTATTTAAACACAATGCAATGATGTTTACCTACCTAAGACAGTCACTTTGACTGTTGCACTATCAGATCCTGATGCGTTTGTCAGAGTGACCTGATATACACCACCGTTCACTCTGCGAGCATCCTCCACTTTTAGAATAATGGTAGTTTCCGTTGTTTTCATGGTAATATTACTAGTCTCTTGAACTTCTTTACCTCTCAGTGTCCAGGCAACAGTTGGTACTGGTACGCCAGTGAATGGTAAGGTGATATCAAAAGTTTCACCAGCTTTAACTTTGAAGTCCCTCAAGTTTCCAATATCTAACTTGGGTTTTTCTGGAAAATAAAAAAAAAAAAAAAAAACTTGTAAAGTGTAGCATGTCTAAATGTAACAGAAAAAAAAGTTGGAAAAACATTTTAGGTGACACACAAAACAAAGAGATGACCTTTGAATAATAGTACATTTCAACTTTGCTGTCAATGGCTACTTTCTTAAAATCATATACATGTTCAAGAAAGTTTGAATAAAATCAGCCATATGGCTGCCAGCCAACCATACAAACACACAATGTATTGACTCAAATCACAAAAACAAATTGAGGTTCGTTAATACTCCATAATGTGAGATGTTTCATTCCAAATTTGAATAAAATCAGCCATGACATGCGTGAAAAATGAGGGATGACATTAACATTTTGTTTTGGGAGGGATTTTTAGTGAACAT